TTACTATGGGCAGCTTACGGTTTAAAAACAGAAAAAACATACTAAAAAAAATCTAAAGAAAAAAAAACTGAAGCAACCCCCCCCTGAATATTAGAATATAGAACCTTTAAATAAAACTCCATGAGAAATTAAGGACAGGTAACATGTTTTCTAGTGCATGCATGGTTATCCTGTGGAATGTGCTATTGCAAGATACAGTAATAACTACAAATCTGGATATCTTTGCAAGATTATTAGAATAATTTATGGGGAATTAGACTGTTAATGGGCACCTGTAACAATGCCTATATATTACTGCCGGTAGGATTCTCAGGAGAGATTGTTATGAAGGTTGATTGGGCAGGTGGTATTGTCCTTATGTTCTTGTGGACATCTGGTCTGCTATTGTAATACTGGAATGCCAGTCTAAATGGGACAAAGCTTTGATCCAGCACAATTCTTTTGTGAGGATCTTCAGTTAAGATAGATCAAGTCAAGAGACCATGAGCAAGGTGACATTTTTTAAAAAGGTCACGTGAAAGATCATGGCTACTAATAAAAGTGGGGAATGCTTCCACTGTATTCCTCTTGTTTTTTCCTACAGATACAGAGGAAAAACAGAGGGACAGACTACATTATGCACTGAATGGAAGTTCTCTTTATAGCCTCTTTGGGGCTTAGTTCCCTTTATGGAAGCCTAACAGACTGAAGTACAAATGTGTGACTACTTTGTATATAACGACAAGAGCCCAAGGGCCACACATACACACAAGGGACAGATAGACAAATGGGGACACATAAAGAAAAAGAGTGACAGGTTAGCTTGCAAAATGGGCTTGAACAGGTCAGTAAAAGGTCTAACTCTCCGTTTTTGTTTTGTACCCAAGCATATTGTAGCCCATTGGTGAGCTTCAATGGATCATGCAAACCCAGAATGTAAGGATAATTCAGTAACCAAGTGAAGGTTTATGTACAAATCCAGCCAGTGAAGAGCAAGCACAATGAAACACACGAACTCAGGAGGACAAACTTATAGACTGGCATCCATGTGGAAGGGTAGAAGCGGTTAAAATCCTCCTTCAAGATTTTATTATACAGTATAGCCTACATCAATAGTGTTTCAGCATTCTTGTGGAGTCTGTTTCCTGATAGGGCCTACCTTCAATCTTGAAAGCCTGTTTTTCTTTCCCTCCTTGTTATACCGAAGTAGTTAAGGTGGAGTCAATCTGAGTTTCCAAGGTTTTCTTTGTTTCTTGGGCTTAACATGTTTTTGTAACTGTCACCGCATAGTTCCTCCAAGATTATCTCTTTGGCTTTCTGCAATTATTCTGTACTATTGTTTATTTATATTGTTGTTAGTTTGTCCTGCATGTTTTTGCATTATGTTCACCTAGTTCTTACAGTAAAGCTTTATCAATGCTTGATGTGATGAGGTGTTTTTTCTTAATCAGTTAGTTGTTGCAGAGCCTGAAACTGATTTGGGCTGAGAGGAAGTGATTGGCCCAAGGTCATCCAGCTGGCTTCCATGCCTATGGGAGGACTAGAATCTGGGTCTCCATGGTCAGTCCAGCACCTTAACCACTACACCACACTGACTCTCACTATTATTTATTATATTTAATATATTTGATAGTTCTATTGTTTAAAGCCCTCTCTCATTGAAAATGGCATGTGTGTGCATGTGATGTAAAGAGCAGACTTTAACTCATCAGCTGATGTTTAGTTTGCTTCCTACTAAGGGAGAATTCTTGCTGGCAGTGGAAGTCTAACTTCATAGAGTTATACTTTCTCTGAATTGCTTCCTCCCCATGCAAATAAATGGATATATGAGATAAATAGCCTGGCAGGAACCTCAGTACAGCCAAGTGAGCACAATGGAGTCTATGGCACTGTGTTGGAGATACTGGAACTGATGGACAACAAGAATTTGAGGAGCAGATAAAAGGAGAAGATAGTAAATCCAGGAAGAATGTGACAGTGAAGCAGGACTGGTAATTCAGTATAGATGATGCCCAAGCACTCCCCTGCACACTGTGGAGACCCCAGAGACTTCATACCATGCATACCCAGATGATGAACGTATAACTGACCCATTATGTCAACATACACTACTAATGAAGACAGTACTTTTTAATGTATGTAGTACAGAGATCAAACAGCGTATTACAAGATAGCGAATAAGGGAACAACAAGCAAGAGAAACAATTTCTCCTTTAAAAAATTGGAGGGTCTGTAATTATTTCATCTATCATTCCTAACCAGAATCAAAGTTATCTAAGAAACCGAAGTAAAGCAAGCAGAAATTCTTTTCCTACACCCTCCCCCAACATCACAACATAGAGAAGTATGTTCTGTTGAATGAAATTGAACGAAGGATATAACACTTCTGAAAAATTTAAAGCAACAGAATAAACCCAATTTTTAGTAAATATGGGGGTTTTTTTGTTAGAAAAAGAACAAAGGCTATTGAACTCTAAAGAATTAGCATCTCTTTATTTTTGCCAATTTAGGAGAAGCAGACAGGCAAACATTTAACATAGAAAATAGAAGAAGCCATCAACATAGTACTAAAATGAAGAAAATTATATTTTACAGATACAAACTATAATTTTCAGAAAAAGGTGGTGGAAACAAAGCTCAAAATGCAGGTTTTGTCATGTAATATAATCAGTTTTTCTTGAATCTGGTACTGTTACTATCACCAATTCTTACAGTTTCTGATATTTTATTTTTATTATTTTATCTTTTTATGAACTTCTAAAAGCTAAAGCTTAACTGTATTGAGAGAACCTTTCTTTTGTGTCATTTACTTCTTTATTTGGTTTACTTCCAAGCATAGACAAATTACTTTTGTATAAAAATATATATAATTTTGAAAAAAAATGAAACTATTTTGTGATCCATTTTTCATGTTTTCCAAGTTTATGGGGAAAAAGGCCGCAGGCAGGGGAAAAAAAATTTTTTCCTAGCAAGTAGGGCAGGTTTCCAAATCTCTGAACTTAATATTAACTATAATCACACTGAATCAGATCAAATCTGTTTACTTGAATAAAATGTATAGACTTGCATAGAATTTGGAGCACTTAAGCTCACTGATTTTAGTCAGTTTTTCAGTGGGTAACCAGAATAGAAGTTCACTTTTCTTGGCATAGTGTGAATCAACACCCAAAGTTAACAGGCCTGTCTCATTAGCAGCCATCCTTTGGAATCAGGACACAATTCTGAAGGGCGGAAGTCAACATTCTATGTTTTCTTTCTTTTTTTCACTTTTTAAAAAAAAATCCTATCTTTTTCTTTTTCTTATTTTGTTCACATTTTTAATACTTTTATTGTATTGTAAAATTCTAACAAAAATATTTAAAAAAAAGAATCAGTACACAATTTTAATGAAGACAGATTTAGATGCAAACTCAGAAGAATTCAAATTTCTTTCGAGTTTTGTAGAAAGTCTTTATGTAACAGTTGGGTATTGTGTTTGAGTGTTGATTCAAGGAAAGTTGTCCATGCTCTGTTTGACCAATTTTCTTAGATCCATGGGTTGAGGCATTCTTTTATTTATGATTTTAAAAATTGAAAAGTTTTAACTGCTGTTATTTTAATATTTTTAACTTGTTTTGTTTTTAAATTTATTGTACACTGCTTTGTGATGTTGCTGATACGGCAAGTTCAGAGAAATTGTTCCAACAAAAAAAATGAATTGTACAATTTGTTAAATTGTGTGTATACAACCTTTTTTTTTACTTCTCTGGAGCTTTCTATGTACTTCTGTTTTGGTGCTAGAAATATTACAAAGTAGTTTACCTGGTATGAAACCACACATACCTTTTCACATTACTTGACAAGACCTCAAATAATTCAAAAAATAATCCTATACCAATTTACCTGGGAGTTAGCCCCACTGAAATTATGGGATTGCTTTGTGACTGGATATGTATGAGATTATCCTTCCTGACTGAACAGAACAGTAGTTAACGTGGAAAAATCTATCTATCTATCTATCTATCTATCTATCTATCTATCTATCTATCTATCTATCTATCTATCTATCAGATTTGTCACTCTGGGTGGTTTACAGAAAAAATAAATACTAATTAAAAATACAGTATAGCAATTTAATGCCTGCAGATACTTGATAGACTTGGTGTTATAGTCTCCACGCTCCACCTCTGACCATCTCCACTTCATACTACCCCTCCTCTTTTAAAATATTTTAGTTTATGCCAGAATTATTGATAAATCTTATGCTAGAGTTCTGCACTGATTATACCAGTTCATTTTCATCATTTGGAATACACAGAAACCACTTGGTACACTTTATTTTCCCTATTTTGGTGATTTTCCCTTCCTATTGGCTGAACCAGTCAACTGCTTTCTGCAGCCAAGCTGCAATTGGTCAGAGAGTTTCTGAGCTGCCCCTTGAAAGAGAGTTAACCCTGCAGCTGCCAGGTCACTAGCCAGTACATTAGAAAATTGACCTTCCTCCTATTACAATGTACCTTCTGTCCAGAAAGACAGAGAGATACAAAGTTCGCATTTTGAATGAACAATTAAAAAGCTAAAATGCAATATGCAAATCTCACCAGCCATCTGTCAAGTTCTGCTTGGGAGGGAGTCCCCAGTACTGCCCAGGAGGCTACAGGATTTAAAAGCAGCAAAATTCAGAAGCAGAGGCAGTTTGATGAAATGGAATTATTTTATTTTACTTTATCACTGAATCTGTGGCATTAAGGCAGATCTTATTATTGATGTTGTGGGCCACAGATGAGATAAACAGGACTTTATTATTTTCATATATCTGCATATGTTGTTATGTACCATTGCTTAGCAGTATGGTTTGGTTGTTTTGTTTTTCTTTTTAATCATTTAACATGTATAATTAGCATGGATACTTAAATGGCAAATTCTATCTTCTTCATTGGATAATCATAAAAAGTTAGAACTTAATCATTTACACTTCACTCCCAAACATTTTGTTCAATTGTATATTCGTTGTAAGAATAGCCGTATTTAGTCATCTACACCTAAACTATTCCTGGCCAGGCAAACATTGGTAGATGATAATTGTTATAATTCAGATAATTGAGAATGCTTTTCTCTACCAGGTTCTTGTATATACTTTGCTTAAAGGATCGTTTGAGATATGTTTTTGGTCTTTCAAGTAATGAAAGTTCACCTTCTACTACTTGACGCACAAGTTCTTGCATTGAAGGAACATCTTCCTGTAAGCAAGAAATGGGAAAAGTAAATGTCTGAAGATAATAATTAGCTTGATTGAAGTGCTCAGTGTGGCATCACCATCTTCTGTCAGCATAATATGAGTAATGCACAAGGATTTCAAAATAACCCACAGATAAATAAATTGAGCACACATTAGTAAAATGATGCACCAGAAAGAGAATTCTAATCTAAGACAAAAGTCAACCTGGGATTTATTGCTTTGTGTCTTTAGCCACAGGCTATCTCTTAAGCCTCTCTTTCACCTTCACTTATTCCCAAGGCCCTGACAACAAATTCAGAGAAGCAGCTGCTCACCACATTCCCTGGAACGCAGGCAGACATGCCAGTTGATCCTCAAAGTGCTGCCTAGCACATGCCATGTTCATTTCAATAGAATCTGTGTTGACAGAACACTTTTATTACTCAAATTTAAGGAAGCCTGACACCAGTGAAAGTGCAGTTTATCACACAGCGTTCATACTGTCAGTGTGAGAGGACAATTTCTTTTCTCATTAATCTATAATGACAATAGAAAGTATACATAATCTACATTCATATCACCCTTTCTTCCATCCCCATTTTTTTTTTACTACCCCAACCCATCAGCTATATTATCTCTATTGAAACCTGCAAGGTAAGGCATGCTTTTAAGATATTTTGTAAAGTACCATTTATGTAGCCTGTGCTATATAAAAATACACAACTACCGTAAAATCAATAATTTTTCTGTTCTAAATCATATTAATAGGCGATAGTTGTATAAGTATATACATATAGCATTGCTTAATCCCCAGATATACTTGAACTGCCTTCTTCAAAAGAATCATTTGAATTATAACTGAGAAAGAAAGTAAACATTGTCACTGTATTGAAATACATATGATTCACCCCATCAACATACTTCTGTAAGACATCCAGTGTATTGATAACCTATAGCATCACTGACTACAAACAGAAAAGGAGTTTGATCCAAAGAGGCTAATGCAATTGCACTGATAGAATTTCACCTTATGTTTGACAGTGGGCTAACTGTGCTTCATTTACTATTAACATATTTTAAAATCCTCTAGACTACCTTAGTACTGGGGATCAAGAAGATACCCAAATTATTGATTTAGGTGTCTGACAAAAGTTCATAAGGTAGCTTTTGCCCCTAAGCTGTGGTAAGAAGTAGAGGTGAGGTTCAGCAACATAACTTTATTGGCACAAGTTGCATTGTGCCTCAGTTTGGATGGTGCAATATTGGTACAGCAGCCAATCAGGCTGAATTTCCAAGATGATGATGATTGCATAGGTTCCATACTGAGGAAAACTAAGAAAATCAGGAATGCGAAATGTTGGGAGCATTAAACTTTCCACAGAATATAAAAATAAAACACAAAGGAATTTAATATTAATAGAAAATACACAAGAAGAACAATTTGGAGTCCCCAAGTACTAAGAGTGAGGAGAAAATCAGACTATTTTAGAATGAAATACCTGATAATCATATGCAAAGGACATTAGACCATACAGAATAGGACTGTGTTGGAAGAAGTCTAGAAGTGACTCAGAAAATAAAACAAGTATTTAATTTATGGAGGAGGAAAGATTAAAATCAATAT